ATTATTATGCAATTTAAGCAGAGAGAAACAGAGAGAGAGGGAAAGTGAGAAAGCAAGCTGTCAGGTCTGGGACTTGAATCGTGGTCATCCATGTGGAAGTCTAACACTTTAACCACCACACCACCTGTCGGCCCCTAAAATTAATTATTAATAAATTAATTATAAATACTTATGTTTTCTATTTTTGTCGACTTATACACATTCTACATCTAAACTGACATAAATATAAAACGTATCCCTGTTTTGTAATAAGTTTATAGATCACTAAGAATCACTTATGTATGTGTGCTGCTACTGAGACATTCCTTATTACTGTTTTATTTTTTTTGAAGAGGATTTTGCTATAGGACGCATGCGCTCACCAGACAGACAGAGACAGACAGAAAGCGAGAAATCACCCCCTAGGGGGGATGGCCACGCTGCAATCCCTTCTCCATTCTCCTCTCAGGATCTTGGGCATGCATGCACATGTGCCCAGTGTGAGTTTTAAACCACCAGGTCTGGGATGTGAACTGCGGTCGACTACATGGGAGTCCAGCAACATAGCCATTATATCAACTGCTGGTCCCCTTATTACTACTTTCCACGATCCTGTTAAAAAGGAATTCGGGGACCAGCCAGTGGCATGGTGGTTAAAGAAGGTGAATTCGAGATGACTGACAACATGATTTGAGTCCTGGATCCAGCGGCTTGAAAAACAACAGGTGTGTGTGTGTGTGTGTGTGTGTGTGTGTGACCAAAATCCTGACAGGAGGAAGAGATGGAGACAGGAACTGTGACCTGACCATCCCCACTGGAGGTGAGGGGTGCTTTCTCTCTCTCTCTTTCTCTGTCTCTTTCTGGGTAAGCTCATGCATCTTCTAGCAAATTAATAAAAAAAATAATAATAATAAGGGGACCAGCAAGTGGTGTGCTGGTTAAGGCACTGGACACTTCCACATGGCCAACCATGGTTCAAGTCCCAGACCTGGTGGCTTGTTTTCTCACTTTCCCTCTCTCTCCTCTCTCTGGTCAAATTAAAATAAATAAATGAATAAATAAAATAAAATAATTCTTTTTAAAAATAATAAAAATAATAAACTGTGGTACCAGCAGGTAGCATTGTGGTTAAGGTGCTGCACTCCACATGGCTGGCTGCAGTTTGAGTCCTGAACCAGGTGACTTGAAAATGGCATGGGTGGGGGAGGGGAGATGGCTGGTGGTTTGGTGGTTAAGGGTGCTGGACTCCTACATGGCCGACCATGGTTCAAGTCCTGGACCTGGTGAAGGCTTGCATTCTCATTTATCCTCGCTCTCTTTCTCTGTCCTTCTCTGGTCAAACTGAAATAAGTAAATAAAGTTAAATAAAATAATTCTTGAAGATAAAAAAAAGGGAGAAAATGACACAGGGTGCTTGTGCGTGCATGCCCAAAATCCTGAGAGGAAAATGGAGGAGAAGCGATTGTGCTGTGGCCATTCCCCCTAGAGGTGATTTCTTACTTTCCTTCTCATTGTCTCTCTGTCTCTGGCAAATGCATGTGCCCTGTGGCAAAAACCTGAAAAAAAAAAAATCGAATTCAGACCACATTCCTCTGCCCAGAGCTCTCACATGGCTCCTGTTTGGGGCAAAGTCCTCACCTGCCCACCTCACCTCCATCACGCACCCTGACCTCCCTCCCTCTCACAGCTACTCCCCGGGCGGGAAGCTCGGGTGCGGTGCCTCTCTTCCTGGAACAGTTTCCTGAATCTCTGCCCGGCTTGTTCCTGCAGCCTTCGGGGCTCCCGAGTCTCCTCACAGAGGCTTTCCCTGGCCCCCTGGTCCGAAATAGCAGACTCATTCCTCCTTGGCTACTTCTCATCTCTCTTTTTTGTTTTATCCCCCTGAAGGCACACCTCATCCTCGGGCCTTGTGTTCTCCTCACATAATGTGCTTGGCATCTCTCCCGCTAAAGAGAACGGACCCTTTGGCTCCTGGCTGTATCCCCACAAGCCTGAAGTTAAGACATCTGTACAACCAGGACCAGCCATTGGTGTAAGGGCTATGTCGCTGGACTTCCACGTAGTCGACTGCAGTTCAAGTCCTGGACCCGGTGGCTTAAACTCATACCGGGCGCGTGTGCGTGCGTGCCCAAGATCCCGAGAGGAGAATGGAGAAGGGATTGCGGCGTGACCATCCCCCATGGGGGGTGATTTCTCGCTTTCTGTCTCTCTGTCTCTGTCTTTCTGGTCTTTCTAGCGAGTGCACGTGCCCTGCAGAAAAAAAAAAAAAAAACTCTCCAAAAAAAAGACATAATGTATGACCAAATAATTTTTCTACTGAATAGAATGAATGAACAACCTTGCAAGGTAAGGCCAATACTGCCCCCATTTTAGAGATGAGGAAACTGAGACCCAAGGAGGTGAAGCAGGATTGAGCTAGGGTACAGCAAGCAAGTGCAGGCCGGCCTTGACTTTGGGAACTAGTACCTCGGCCCTCCCGGGTCTCACCCGTCCCCCTACACAGCTGGAAAGCATCCAGGAAGTGACAGAGCCCAGCTAGGTCCCAGCTCTGTCCCACCTCAAAGCTCTTGCTCTGCACCAGGAAGCCATGCTTGGTGGTTGCGTGCCTCCTGGCCTGGTCCCTACTGCTTACCGCGTCCCGACAGCCCTAGCTCGGTAATGTGTGTTGAACGAACTGATGAACGAATGAACAACATCGCATCATCACACCCACTCAGCGGCGCCAGAGGTTGAGAGGAAGGGAAGAGGGAGGCCGGCAGGTGTTGGGGTGTAACCCTGCACCCCGCCCAGCACCTGGAAGGAGCTGAGGAAGATCTCAAAGGCGAGCTTGGCGAAGCGCAGGGCTCCCCGGGCCTGTTCCTCTGCCACGGGAGCAAACACGACCTCGTGGATGCCCAGCAGGGGCACGAGCGTCAGCGTGGAGCGGGCCAACCTGGGGAGAGAGGGCAGCAGTGGTCCCAAGGCCCGGGCACCCCAGCTCACACCCGGCTCCCTCCCTCAGTCCCGGCGCAACCCTCCCGCACCTCAGGCGGTAGTCTGGGCAGCGCATCTGCTGTGTCCTCAGCTTGGACAAAAGGATGCCAAGAATGCGGATAAAGATGAGAAAATTAATCTGCGGGGAGAGACAGAGCCTGAGCCGCTAGCGATCCCACTCGGGGTGTGGGTGTGGGGGGGCAGGAGGTGGCACCCACTTCCCAGAACGAGAAATCCCTTAGGACCCCCTGAAGGAGGTGGGGCTGGCCCTACCAAGATGGTCATGAGGATGGGCGTGCGAATGATCCACCAAATGGCTTTGACGTCGTTCCGCTCCCAGCATCTGGGGGAAGTGAGGTCGAGCTAAGAGACAGAAAACCCCTAGACTCACTGGACCAAGCACATTCACTCGCCAGGCGCCACCCACATTCCCTTAAAGCCCCGCCCATTATCAGTACCACCCCATGCCGTCCAATAGTCGTTGAACATAACCATTAGGCCACGCCCACCTCACCCCCCACCTCCAACTCCTCAGACCCCACCCAGAGACCTCAAAACCCCGCCCACCTCCCAGGCCACGCCCCGAATTCCAACTCACTGCGTGTTCTCGTACAGGTACCTGACGATCACCCAGGGAATGACGAAAAGAGCGGGGGTCCCTGTGCAGACCCCGACCCCCGCCCCCCACCCCGCCACAGCTGTCAGCGCACGCGCGGGCTCCCAGGCCCAAGACCCCGCCGAATTTCTCTGCTAGGGTAGGGAGACAGAAGCCTAGAGAGATAATTACGGAGACACCCTGAGGTAGACCAGCGGGGCAATTGGAGGAGCCCAGGCAGCAGGGCTGGGCCGGGGACGGGATTGGGGCTCACCCCAGCCGAGGAGCAGGTAGCAGCGGAAGTGGCCCTCCTCGGAGCCGCCCACGAGCACCAGGAGACTGTGCAGGTAGACGCCCTCCACCAGCAGCCACGTGTAGTTGGCACCCACGCAGTACTGGGTCACGATCTGGGCCATGCGGCAAGCGGCTAGGGTCTAGGGAGCGGCAGACAGGCCAAGGGGCCATCAGAGCCACCAGGGTGTCCCCAAGCCTTCCCCTTTCTGGTCACCCTTCCTCACCCTCTCTTGCCAGCATTCATTCTCCCAATCTATGCCCCAGGGGGCGGTATCTACGTTTGGTTTCTGTCACCCTATTCTCATTCCCTGTATAGCCTCTCCCACTCTGACTCCCTTAATGATTTGTATTGTCTATATTGCCATCAACGTTCCCACCACACCCCTAAAACATGGCCTTCTGCACGCTAGCTCCTTCTAAGAATTACATTTCCGGGGCAGCAGGTAGCATGGAGGTTAAGGGCACTGCACTTCCACATGGGCGACTGGGGTTCGAGTCCCAGACCTGGCAGCTTGCTTTCTCACTTTCTCTCACTCACTCTGTCCCTATCTGGTGAAATTAAAATAAATAAGACGAAGTTAAATGAAATAATTATTAAAATAAAACTAAATTCTCCCTCCAGTGTATAAACTTTCCCATCCCATGCTTTCTTTCTTTCTTTGTTTTTCAAAGGAGTATTTATTTAATTTTATTTATTATAATAATTTGACCAGAGAGAGAGAGAAAGTGAGAAAATGAGGTGCCAGGTCCTGGACTCAAACCATGGTTGGCTATGTGGGAGTCCAGCACCTTCACCACAGCACCTGCCAGCA